CCTCCCAACACAAACCAGTCTGGGATTCTATTAGAGCCGCGCTGGTGAGGGTGACTCAGTCTGGATCTGATGTTTCCCTCTAGTGAGGAACTGCTGCCATTGCCTCTGGGAAGTGTCAGTGCTGATGTGAGTGAGAGAAAAAACCTTCAGGATTCAGAGATCAGGGTGTAGAGTGAGGACAGCAGCAGCGCAGATGCAGCCGAACATCAGGAGAAATCTTGGGGACAAGATAGTGCAGGTACTTTTCTACTGCAGATTGAGGCAGAGCATGGCACCTGCTCAAATAACTTATTTTCCTTCTTCTTTGATTTATTAAATGCAAAGTTCTTACCAGCTCAGGCCCCTGTAACGCTGCAGCTTTAGAGATACTCAGGAGACAGGTATTTCTTTGAACACAGGTCATGCTTTATTCTGAAGTCCACTTGCCATTATTCCAGCCTTAGCACAGGGACCATGCCAGGATGTTAAGTTATAAAAATAAGTTACATTAGAAGCAATTATAAAGTATTGTTTGCTGAGAAAATAACCTCTCTAAATCCCCCCTATTTTAATAATGGGATATCCTATTAGCATGGCAGAGTCACTCAAAAAGTTTCATTCATGGAGTTACTCACACACAAACCGATGATCCCTCAAGTCATTTATGACTAGGAAAGATAATCCCACTGCAAATTGGCATGCTTGAAAGAAAAATCCCACCTTGCTAAATGTTCCTCTACAAAAGAAAAATAAAAAAACTGTTTGGCTGATCCATAAAGAGAAATCTCTTTTTTGTTGTTGTTGTTTTTAAGCAGCAGGTTCTTGCCCCCAGCCGTTCCTGGTCTGCTGCAGGGCTGAGCCTTGCCGGAAACTCAGCAGGCAGAAAGGAAGTCGTGTCTCTAATATGTATTTTTAAACTTGCAGAAGGAGGGAGATGATATCAAAGGTCAAGTGCATCATCCTCACAAGATCTCTGCAGCTTGAATGAATTTAAAAAAAAAATAATCCAACATTAAAAATAAATTGAGATCGCTTCTTCTCTCCCACAACTTGTCTCAGCAAGAATTAGCCCTTCACACACGCAGCTGGGCTGACTTAAAACCTGAAGGACAGGTCCCCATCTTCCCTTTCCGTGCAGCAGCACCAGTTAAAGAAATATTAAATCAAGATATGGAATAACCCCACCTTGGTTATCAAATCTCCTTGTAAACTACATCTTACTGTCAACTCAGTCTGGGACAGGGAGAGAGCAGGAGGCACGTTGGGCACGAACGGCGCTTGGACACACAGTTAAAAGATGAAGCGCTGCTCTAGCCAGGGAGCCCTGGCCAGAAGAGCTGGAATTTTTTTGAGATATCTTCCTCTGGTGCATTAGTTCTTGTCTCCTTTGCAGCCAGGGCCACCTCTGTGTCTTTCTCTACCTTCTCTTCCAGCTCCCTGGCCAGCAGAGCTGGGATTTTTTTTAAGATCTTCCTCTGGTGCATTAGTTCTTGTCTCCTTTGCAACCAGTGCTACCTCTGTGTCTTTCTCTACCTTCTCTTCCAGCTTCTCCAGCAGTTCACACCATTTCCCTGGGATCCCAGCTCCTCCCTTTGGTTCTTTGGGTGTCTTAGCCACCTTCTTTGAAGATGTAGCCTTTTCTAACAGAGGTGATTTTCTATCAGTCACCTTATCTTTCTTCTTCTCCTTTCTGCTGTCCTGTGACACTTTAGCTATCGCCCTGAAGGGACCCACAACCCAGTTCAGAGGGGTGTTCTGAGTTACGTACTCAAACAGGTCATCTAGGGACCTTTGGGCTTCTGCTACACAGTCCTGGCTCTGGGTCAGGGTGGTGCTGGAGAGGTCCTGGAAAGACACAGCATTGGCAAAAGAACTACGGAGCTTGTGGATATTTCGAGTGGCCTGATACACAGCTTCTTGGATGTTGCTGGGGAGGCCTTGGATGCTGGCTTTCAGATTCTCATAAATGGGTGGTAGCTGCTGGGTGATGATTCGCAGCATAGCTAGAGTCCGTGACTCTACCTGCTGGGAAAGAGATACAGCTCAGTTACTGGAGCAGAGGAGATGTACCCCATTCACCAGAGGCCTGATTAAATACAACCTTCTAGGGATACCTCTGGTTGGGAGGCAGTTTTAACTTGGTTTCCTTTGGGTTGGGTCAGGCTCCAGTCCACCCACAGCTGATGGAGCTTTTCCTGCCCATCTAGAAGCTTCTGGCCAACTTCTTGTTTGACAGATTCGATCTGATGGGGAAAAAATGAAAGGAACAGCTGTATTGCAAGCACACACAATCAGAGAAGCATGAGCAACTCCCTCCCAGGGAGGGATCCAAGGTGACAAGCAGCTGGTGCAGGATGGAGGAAGAGCTTCCATTTGGATAGTAGGGCAGGGAGATTACAGACAGGAGGAAAAAGGAAGCAGCATGTTTGTACCAGTTTAATTGCCAGCTGTAGTCGTGACAGAGTGTCCTGGGTGCTCTGCTTAACGCGCTGCAGTTTGTTCAGCGAGTGCCGATAGGCTCGGTGACGGACTTTGTTAGAGAGGGAACCCAAACGCACAAAGTAACTCTGCTGCTGTTTCTGCTCCTCCACAGAAGCCATACCAGATCCCTCCACAGCAGTGGCCAGTTCACCTGGAGGAAACAAGAACAGAGATGCTGCTGTGCTCCACTCTACTCCCCCAGCTGGAAGTGGAGGCGAAGAGCTAAGATCACCCGTTGGAAAACATGAAGGCTGAAGCTTGCTGTGTACACAGTAGAGGTTGGTAGATATGAAAGGTAGGCTAGACCCTGCTCAACACCTTCTCTTCAGATAAGCAGACTTGACAGATAGGTTGAAGCATGTACCCACGTCTTTATTTGCCTTGAGGCTGATGGGCAAGGACCAGCTAGCAAATGCTTGAGCTCTGTCCCATACCATGTGGCAAGTCAGTGTCGACAGCCAACTTGGTGGCAAATTCAGAGCTACCTGTCTACTTCAGAAGATGCATCTTGCAGTGTCAGGTGCTCTCTAGTCATGTGGGAAAGGAGTTGTATTTACAACCGCCAGCTAAGCATTTTCTCACCTAGTTCCTCCTCTGTCATTGGGAGGTAGTGATCCACCAGATCTTCTGATATACCCAGGACAGACTCCACACCACCTGCCACTGCTTGGCTCACTGCCTTGGCTTTGCTCATGCTGTTGGTCACCACTGAATTAGTCATCTCCACACCCTCCTGGATAGCTTCTCTGCTCTGCTCCAAGGCTGTATTTATTTTGCTAGTTATGGTGCCATATGCAGCATCCAGAGCTGTACTGACTGTAGAAGTGACCACTGATTTGGTCTTCTCAACACCATCCTGAACAGCCCCTTTGGTTAGGTCCACTGCTTCAGTCACTTTGTTGGTCACAAGATCCTTGGCACCCTGGGCAGCCCCTACAGCAGCAGTAATAGTAGAAGCAACTGCAGACTTGGTCAGTCCAACGCTGTCCTCCACAATGTGCTTAGTGAGATCCACTGCCTCTGTCACCTTGTTAGTCACAAGGTCCTTGGCACCCTGGGCAGCCTCCACAGCATTGACAATAGTAGAAGCAACTGCAGACTTGGTCAGTCCAACACTGTCCTCCACAATGTGTTTACTGAGGTCAACTGCTTCGGTCACCTTGGTGGTCACAAGGTCCTTGGCACCCTGAGCTGCTTCAACAGCATTGACAATAGTAGAAGCAACTGCAGACTTGGTCAGTCCAACACTGTCCTCCACAATGTGTTTACTGAGGTCAACTGCTTCGGTCACCTTGGTGGTAACAAGGTCCTTGGCACCCTGGGCAGCCTCCACAGCATTGACAATAGTAGAAGCAACTGCAGACTTGGTCAGCTCAACACTGTCCTCCACAATGTGTTTACTGAGGTCAACTGCTTCAGTCACCTTGGTGGTCACAAGGTCCTTGGCACCCTGGGCAGCCTCCACAGCACTGTTAACAGTGGAGGTGACCATTGACCTAGTCAGCTTGACACTGTCCCCAACAACATTTTTAGTGAGGTCCACAGCTTCAGTCACTTTATCAGCCATTGCTCCTTTTGCCTCACAGGCAGCATCCATAGCAGATGTAACTTTGGTGGAAACCAGCTGCTTGGTGTCTGAGATGACCTACAACAGGGAGAGGCAGAGAAAGATACTTTTTTTTTTCTTAAATATGTTTTCCCTTTCTGAAGTAGCTTTTCCCAGTGGCTAAATTGTGCTCGTGGGAGAACTGGGGAAGCCAGTACCCCTGTATTTACATAGACATGTTCATTTCCACATGATGAAGGCATATCTCCAGCTTCCATCAGCTAGCAGTGCCTCCTCTAGCTCAAACCAGGGACTGACATGACAAAACAGTGCTCCTGAAATTTATTTCCCCATATTCTTTTGTACCTAGAACAGTTCCATCAAGCAAGAGATCAAGTCATGGCTTCCCCAGGACAAGCCTTTACCTTACCTTATCTGCTGGCTGCTGAAGAAAAGGCAAGTTCTCCTCCAGCTGATCCAGTCCTTTACAGGCATATTCATTTACGAGGGCAACTAGAAAAGACAACAGGTACCAGTTTATTCTTCAATTTGGAGAGGGGTTTTTGACCTTACAATGGCCAATTCAGGACACATTCATGAAAACAAACAAACAAAAAAATAGTGTCACTGTTCTGGGGTGGTGTGTGTGTGTGTGGAGGGTGTCTTGTTAAAAAGTGACCAGCCACTACAATTTGTCAGATTCAAATAGTCTCCATTTTGCCATCCCAGCTGTCTAGCTATTGACAGCACACTGCTCCAACTGGAGCATCATACTTGCCCCTGGTGGGTAGGGAAATTAAAGGGTTGAAAAGTGTTGAGATGAGGCAGACTGAGCTACTACCAGGTGGGATGTTCATAACTTGGAGTGACAAAGAGAAAAGCCTGGAGTTTTTGCTTAGTGATTTAAAGAAACCACAGGTGAGACCATAGAATCATAGCATCATAGCTTTGCTTCTGCTAGTAACAGTTTCATGTCCATGAAATTCAGTGGGTGAAGCTGGGAGCTGCTGAGTAGAAGACTCAGTGCTCCAATTAACTAGAACAATGTGCTGTAGGAGTTGGGTATCACCCAAGAGGCACAGGAAACTCCCCTCCCCACCTGTTCCTCTGCAGAAAGGCTCACTCCAGCCTCTTCACTTACTTTGTGGCTCAAGTTGGTTCAGGATGGGCTGTGCCCCACCAACCACGCTGCCCACTGCCACAGCAGCCACAGTCTCAGCCACGTTGCAGACACCGCTGAGGTAAGGATGTGTCTCTTTGGTATAGTTGTAGGCAGATGAGACCAGGTTGAATGCAGAGTTGAGCAAGGGCAAGCTGGTTACCCGACTGACAGCACTCTAAAACCCAAGAGAAATAAGTGACATTAGAGGTCCAGCCTCTATCTGGTGAGTGAATACAAACCATGTGTCTATCCAGAAAGGTCCTAAGGGGACATCCAGTCTGTCTCCTTGTCCTTCTTAAACTCTGAGTTGAATGGACTCATCCAAAGACCACTAGCAAGTCAGGGACAAGCCAGGATGACAAGTTCAGGCTCTGGGCTCATCAGTTCTGAGTCACACTGGGCTTCAGCACCAAACCCAGGGGTGGATATTGGACCTGAAACAGCTCACGTTTCACAATGACTTGCATTCCTTGAGCCAGGCATGAAGTGTTCTCTTGAGCAAAAAAAAAAAGTTAGCTTCTGTATGAACTGATTTGAGATTTAGCCACAAATTCATACAGTTAATCTTTCTGCTGCTTCCAGCCTGGTTTTGAGGTGCTGACAGAAGTTATTTTACCAGCATATCTGTCAGCAGGTAGTTTATCTGGTGCATGTTGGAGTATTACCTGCCCTGGCACCTACCGCTTGCTGCTGTTCCTCAGCCTTCAGCAGATCTTTCTTTGTGGTCTTTTCTGATGCCATACTGAATTCAACTGCAGCTGAAAGGGAAAAAAATGAGAGTGTAACAGCATGAATACCACTTAAATTTCCTCTGGTAAATTCAAGTCTTAGCAAAACTGTTGAAAATCAGAAGGCAAAGTTGGGATCCATCATTCAGCATGTCCTAGGAACATCAGCGTGGCATTGCTAATCTTCCTTGCAAGGGTGTGAAGATATTTGAGAGGCTCCATGATTTATCATGTGCAAATATTTATGTAGGAGAAGGACTGTACAAAGTCACCTCAATCCCCAAACAGCCAAATACTTTAAACTAAATAACCATCCTACTTATGTTATTGCTGATAACGTATGACTGGCTTCAAAGCTGCAGGTTAGAAGTGGGTGACAACTATCTTCTGTCATGGATTTTCTTTGCTAGAGATACTTGTGGCTCAGCTTCCCACTGCACAGGCTCTTTGCTGGCCAAGGACTTGAAGGAAATCATAGAATCATAGAATGGTGTGGATTGGAAGGGCCCTCAAAGCTAAGCACCCCCCTGCCATCAGCAGGGACACCTTCCACTAGACCAGGTTGCTCAAAGCCTCACCCAGCCTGGCCGAGAACACTTCCAGGGAGGGGGCATCTACAACTTCCTTGGGCAACCTGGGCCAGTGTCTCACCACCCTCACAGTGAAGAACTTCTTCCTAATATCTCATCTAAACCTCCCCTCTTTCAGCTTAAACCCATTTCCCCTTGTTTTGTCATTAACTGCCCTTATGAAAAGTCCCTCCCCAGCTTTCTTGTAGCCCCTTCAGGTACTGGGAGGCCGCTCTAAGATCTCCCTGGAGCCTTCTCTTCTCCAGGCTGAACAGCCCCAACTCTTTCAGCCTGTCTTCATAGGAGAGGTGCTCCAGCCCTCGGAAAGCTGCATCCTGCAGAAGCAGGGCTGATGGTGGGAATCACTGAACGTTGTCTCACTCGATCCTGACATATCATTGTCCTTCTAACAAGCCCTGCTGAAAAGCAGCTGCAGCAGGGCTTGTCAGGACAGCAGGATAAGTAATATTTTAGTTTTAATTTTCAAAATGTGCCAAGCTCAGTTTAATAATGAAGTTTAAATATTTAATTTGAAAAAAAACCTGTCTGAACTTGCTTAATACTCTTTAAGAGGGAAAAGCCCTCAGATTTCCCCCACTTTCTTTGAAGCAGAGATGAGTTTTGCAATGGCTTAATCAATTTTCCTCTTGGGGAAAAAAAAAAAAAAATAGAAAAAAAAAGAAGAAACTGGCAGGACTTCAGCTTCTCTCCAGAAAGGTGTCAGGGCCAGAGACTGAGCAGAGATGCTGAAACAGCAATGGGCCTGCTTATCTTCTTAAAAAGTGTTCAGTGTTCGTAGCCTCTCTCCTCTGAAGGCTCACTCTGGAGTATCCTTTGCAAAGGACATTGAGATGAAAATAATTCTAGAGTCATCCAACTAAGCCAGTGTTTGTAGTGGGGAACTTTTTATTAACAGCAAGACTGGCAGTCTCAGAGCTCTGGGGAGGATCTGAAAATCCTTTGAAGTTTTTCTAGAAGAGTGAGACAGGTTGCACAGCTGCAGCATTCTGGCTGCCTACCTTGAAACTTGTGTTCCCATCCTACTGACCAGCTAGACAGGAAATCTCTCCTCACTTCCTGTGAAACCAAGGCTCAGAAGTGTTCTCATTACATAATGAGATGAAAGAAGTTAAGAGTATAAAAATTATGCAATATTTTGAACATGTATTGGCTTCCCCAGCACAGACCTAGGTCAGTATCTGGACACTCCAGTATCGGGCGATAAATCCAGGATTACTTCTCAGCCTTAGTCAGGCACAGCAGAGATTTCAGCATATTTGTTCCTCAGAGCAGCATCTGCTTTTCTCTCCCTTGCCAGTTAATTCCTATTCTTAGAATTGCTATAGCATTTTCCAATGGAAAACCCTCAAACCAAAATTCCTCACAAACTGGATTCCCAAGCTGAGCACTGCTCCAGGCTCACTGGCAGACTCTACCCCAAAAAACTTGCCATCTGATTTGTGACAGAGACCATTGTTTTGTTTCTTCTGTTCTCTGACTTGTATAAGGTTTTTATTTTGCTGTGGAAACAGGAACAGAGAGCTGGGGAAGAAGCAGTGAAACAAAGCATTTGTTAGCACTGGACTGACTGTGGATAGAGCCAGGGGAGACATCTCAGGAGGTAACTTTGCAGGATGTTAAATATTGCTGCATTAACTCTGCAATTAGTCAGCATTTTAATGAGATTCAAGCAAGGGGGGGATGCAGAGTGCTACATATCTACAGCAAAAGTTGTCACCAAAGTTGTCACCTCCAGCCTCTTAAGTGAGAAGCCCAGAGCCAGCACTCTTCTATACGCTCCTGCTAATCACCCTGCACAGGGGGCTGCCTAATTTAATAGCACAGCAAAAATACAGCTTGAACTTTATCAGTCTGTGAGAACTTGTAGAAAACTGCTCCAAACAAGAGCAGGTCTGAGTCCCAAAGTCCACACGGTTCACTCAGTGAGTGGTTATTCCTCCTGCGCCGCTTTAGGGCAAGTTTGTTGGTTGTTTTTTTTGAAGCCAAGTAGGATGAATCAGTCTGCAGCCTCATCACAGGGCAAAGCACAACTATTTCAACACCATTACAAACAACCCCTTTGCTCAGTTATTTTACTTCTAGACTGGTAGGAAAAACTCAGACTGTGGAGTATCTGAGTGGCCTTGGCCTCAGGGTTAGCACACAGACACACTGCGGCACAGAAAGCAAAGAGGAAAGGACTCGAGTTGTTAGTGTAAGTCAGGAGTAACTCCTTGGCTGATGTAAAAACTAGGGTAAGGTAAGAATCAACCTCAGAATTACTAGGAGCCCTTCTTAATTATGGATGGAAGTGTGTCAGTGACAATCCTTGCAGCGCAGTCGTGTTAGAACACGGTTTGCTCTCCTCTGTGTAGGAGGAATCGGGGTGTGTTGCAATGCTGGTATTTGTGGTGTGGGCAAATCTTCACGAGCCCACAGCGTGGTTTTATTTTCTCTTTGCCCTGCAAAAAGTGCTGAGCAGACCTTGTGTTACTTCAAAGACTGCAGGAAAGCACGGTGCTTAGCAGCTCTGGGTCATCTGTTTCAGAATCCTTTGGAGAAAGGGGCACAGCTTCGAGGCAGGGGAGTTGGAATGGAGAGTCCCAGCAGACAGACCCCGTGCAAGGAAACCACCAGGTAGAAAAACCAGAACCAGCATCACCGTTTGCTTTGGTTACAGTTTGCTTTGTATGAAAGTGATGATCAGATGATTTCATACCATTGCTACATCAGAAATATTAGGTCACTGCTGGAGAAAGATCTTGAAACTGGTAGTTTCAGAAAGATGAAACTCTTTGGTGGACATTTGTAGCACAACAGCTGACCTGCTGATCACTGCCCAATTTGGCACAAGTTTCATCTTAGTGAAACAGAAAGGACAATGGCACCAAAACTGCCAAGCTGCTCTGTTTTCCCTGCCCCAGTCACACTGTCACAGCCAGAGCAACGTGCGAGCCTGGCAAAAAAAGTACTTGCCTTGATTTCTGTCCCTCTGACAGTGACCAGCATACATCAGACTAGTTCTTTAATGTGTGTAAGGTTTGGTTTTCCCTGTGGGAAGTAGCTCTGCCCCATGAAGACAACCTGCTGCTATATTGTCCTGCAGACAGGGAGGCAGGATCTTGTTCAGGAAACTTTCCTCCCTTCCCACTGTGTTTTATCTTGGGAACGCAGATTGAGCCGTAGCCAACATGCCTGGTTCAATAGCTTAAGTGGCAATTCATTAATGACCATTAATGAATTTAGTGCTTTAGATATGAGCAGGGAGGAGTAATCAGGGCAGAGGTATTAATTGATGGTTAAAGCACTTATTTACATTCTTTTCGAGATTTGCTACTGATACCCCAATTACCACTCGTGCAGTTGGCAGGACTGGGTCCCAGGATGTCTCTGCCCTGGGGAATGGCACTGCCCACAACTGTTTGCAAATGCTCTGAGGCCAGAGTTAAGTTTTAGGAGGAGGATCAGGTGATTTTCAGCTTTGACCCTTGGGACATGAGTTTCAAAATTGCTGGCAGAGGTGTCCATCTAACCTTTCTGGAAAAGCCATCAGCATTAGGGAACCTCAAAGATTAAAGCCACTTTCACAGATGGAGGCAGGGTTTTCCCCACACATTCTTCCAGTGGAAATGAAGCACCGCAGCCAGTGGCCATCACTAGGTCAGTAACTCCTTGGGACACTGAAGGTATAAGCTGTCCAAGCTACGAGAATTTGGAGATATTTTAGGAAAGAGAAGAGGCAGTTTAATTAAAATAGCTTCTCAGCTTTCTAGTCCTTTCCATTTACCAGTTTTTCCACAAGGACAGACCTTTCAGTTTCAGACAGAAGCTGTAACTTGCAGAGCTGCTTCTTCTTGAACACACATTTTCATCTGGAAGTTTCAGCAGAATCAGCTTTAGTAACTGAAGTCCTTCACAGCCAGAGCTTCAGGTAGTCATGAGCACATTTAAAAACCCTGTTAGTCTTGAGAAACACTAAGCTAGTTTGCCATGGCAGAGCCCTGCATGGCTGCAACCTCTGTCTGCAGAGAGACAGTGCTCTTGAGCAAGAAAAGTCACCTTGTCACTCAAGCCACCCCCTTCGTTAACACTATTATCATGCCTACACTAAACGATCATGTGAAATAGCTACAGGCAGGTCTGGCAGCACCGTCAACAGGAAGGGAATGCCCAACTGATCCATCTGCCTCCTGAGGCACCTACCGCTTCCCCCAAGATCAACACAAGTCAGCGGTGATGTCCAGTGTCCACATCACGTGCTGTCCCTGCAAGGCTGGATGGGAGAGCCACCTCCTTTGAACCCCCTCATGCAGCTTTGATCTTCACCAGATGATAAGCAGAAAAGAGCTTTCAGACCCAAAGCTGCTCAGTCACAAATCAGAGACCTGTAGTGTTACCAAGAAGTCATCTCAGGGCTAGGAAGAAGCCTTTTGGGAAGGATTTGAAGCCTTTCAGCTCTTC